TAGGTGCGCTCGCGTCATATCTGACATCCTACCCCTCCCTCCCATCCCTTACCATGGCGCAGATCCCCTCTCTTCTCGCTCAGTCGGATGTCGAGCAGGGCAATGATCCCGAACGGGTACGCGATGCATTGTAGAGCACGGCATGGCATGGCGTAGAAGAGCACCGCAAAGCGTAGCATCAACCTAGCATTGCATTGCATGCCGTGGCATGGCACGGGAAATGACGCCAGCGCTGCAGCGAGAGCACGAGTCGAAACAAGCGGAAGCGCGGAAATGAGGCCAACGCTGCAGCGGGAGCACGATTCGGAACGAGCGGAAGCACGGAAATGAGGCCAGCGCTGCAGCGGGAGCACGATTCGGAACGAGCGGGGCCCGAAAATGAGGCCAGCGCCTCAGCGAGAGCAGCATTTGGAAACAAATGCAGGCGAAAACCCAAATCTGGGGAAACCTGTGTGTAAAAAACAATACGCGGGGGAGGGTCGGCCACTTTCAAACCGTCATCAGGGGAAGAGGGAGAGTAGTATTCATATTAAGTAATTGTCGACGGGGGGGGCGGGAGGGGGAGCAGGGGAGGGGGAGGCAGGAGGAGGGGGAGGGGGAGGCAGCGGGGAGCATGAACGGAGGTCATTGTCTTGGGTTTGAAGCCCGCCCTCTCAACACCTCTTGGGAAGCCAACGCAACTATCCCGTATGGTAATATCCTTGTTGTGATTGTGCGCGAACATCGACGGCTAACGATAACGATAATGCTAGGACGCCAGGATGCAAGGACACCCGGATATTTTGATGAGAGGGGTACCAGGATGTTAGGGTGTCAAGATGCCAAGGGGTCAGGATACCAGCATGGCAAGATCCTGGGATGCCAGGATACCTGTGCAGCCTGTGCGGCCTGTGTGATCTGCGGGACCTATGTGACCTTGGGGACGTGTGGATCATCTGGGACCCGTACGACCTGTGGGGCCTGTGGGACATGTGGGACTTGTGTTAGGCCGGGCATGTCCGCCTACAGGCGGTTGTGGGGCGAAAAATAAAAAATAATCAAACTACCCCCAAATTCGTCAGAAATAATTAAAGAATCGTACCCCGCACTATCTTTTAATACTCCTCCTGTAGAGGGACACGCCCGATTTACGACCTGTGCGACCCGTGGGAGCTGTCGGACAAGCGCCACTTGTGGGGCGCCCGGGGCCCGTGCGTCCTGTGGGGCCCGTGCGACCTGTGCGACCTCCGAGACATGCGGGGCCTCTGGGACCTGCGGGGCGTGTCCGCCCGGATGCCATCCAGGAGGTCAGACATGCTGGGATGCCGAGAATCCAGTCGGGGCGCTGACCTAAGGAACCCTAAATCAGGAACGAGGCCCCTTTTTCCCATGAGTTAAATTTCGATTTCCCAACGAAAGCCTAAGGAAGACATAAGACAAGCTGTGGAACAATTAGGGAACACGGAGCCCCTCCCCAACGAAAAGGGTTCCTTCTTCAGCGCCCCGACCGTACCACACACAGTATCCGGCCTGACCTAAGGAACAATACATAAGGAGCGAAGCCCCTTTCTTTTCCAAGTAAGTCTAGGAAGTACGAACGAACACCGGGGGGGCTCGCCGCAGGAACGACCGAGCCCCTTTTGAAAAAGAAGTGTTCCTTATTCAAGCCGGACCCTGTACAGTAGGAGCTCGACCGCAAGAAGTCCCCCGCAGGAAACCCAACCCTGAGACCCAGGGCGTCCATGGATTTCTGGTGAGGGAACGTGACGCTGTCCATGGCAAAAGCATCGAACGCCTAGAAGCCCAGGGCTGGAGGCAAGCAGGCTGTTTCTTGGCATGGGCTTCCACTGTGTGCCAGCGATGCAGGGACGCCACGTGGCCAGGACGCCACGATGCCAAACTGCCAGGCTGCCAGCGCAAAAACGGTCCTGGGGGCGGAGTCCTGGGTGCACGCTTGGCCCAATGTTTTTTTTTTTTTTTTTTTTTTTTATATATATATATATATATATTTATGTATATATATATACATATATATATACACACACTTGGCTCCAGACATTACAGGCCGCGGCTACCTGCGAGTCAGCCGGAGGCGCCCCAGCGGGCACCCAGAGAACCAGCACGCGGCCGATCACGAAACGACGGCGGCACTGGCAAACGAGTCGATAGGCCGCTGGCCGGCTGCGGGTGGCCAGCAGGCGGCGGCGGCGGCCCAGCGGTTGAGTTAAGTCGGGCCTGTCCCCCCCTACAAGCCGATGTTCGACGAGAAATTAAAAAACACGGGAACATACGCCAGAATGTCAAAATGTACTGGGAAAACTGTCCCCGGACTATTTGATGACTGTTGAAAAATATACTAGAACATATAAGAAAAACATTGCAATTGTCCCCAGACTATTTGTTGACTATTTCGGAATACTTCTCCTCTAGAGGGACAGGCCCGACTCAGCGGTGGAGGTCGTGCGGCTTCGCGGCCGACGAGAAGGAAGGAGACGGCCGAGAGCTGAAGGAGGGGGGGGAGAGCAGGACGCAGCAGGGCTGAACCTAAGCGGTGTTTTTCGCTTTCGTTTTGTTTTCGTTCTCCCTTGTTTTTGTCTCGAATCCGCCTTTACAGCATAACGGTATCCAAACGACCTCGGCCCACGAAATCACCCCAAACACCGTTCAGGCCAGGTCCAGCCCTGGGACGCAGGGTTGCTTCCTCGACAACTTCATCGGCATTCTCGGCATTCTCGTAGTCACTACAGCAGCAGACAGGATAAAACAATCATCACTTAGGAGACCTGGGCCAGCTTTCCGGAAATGTCTTAAGACAGGCCTGGGCAAGTGATTGTGTCAACGCTGGAGGGGCGAACGCGCTAAAGAAACCGAGCCAGCTCTCTGGCGAGTTGGTCGAGAAACGCTGGCCCAGCTTTTCGGGAGGAGGTTTCTTGATCAGACGCTCGACTGTATGGCTGAACTGGCAACCTAGCCGGTCGATGGTGTAACTGGACGTCCCGTTGTTCGGTACACGCTGAGAGCCACTGGAGTGCTCTTCCCGCTGTTCTCCTGCGTCGTTTGTGCGCTGCGGTGTGCACTTGGCGTTCTGCTGGCTCGCCGGCTATGGTGTTGCGTCGTATCGGCACGCCCCGTCTGCTAGCTCGCCGGCCATGGTGTTCGGTCGTATCGGCACGCCACTGTCCAAGAGATCCGACGTCGTGTTTTTCCCCAATCAGTGCTTGCACTGAAGGGGTCCCAGCGGATGTTGAAGGATTTGGTGAAAATTCCCCGCCGATTTGGGTGGCAAGCTGGTGTCCTTGCTTCCTGGGTTCCCGTTTCCGGGATCCCGGGTTCCCCGTTCCGGGATCCGGGCCGATTTCGGAGGGCGGCGAGGTTCCCGGGTTCCCGGGTTCCTGGTCGACCTTCTTATCGATCGGTCTCACCGTCGATCTCATTACCGACTTCTCAATCGATCTCACCATCGATCTCACAATCGATCTCACCATCAATCTCACAAGCGATCTCTCTAGAGATCGCATGAGCGATCTCACGATCGATCTCACTATCGATCTCATTGAATCGATTTCACTCTCGGTCTCACGATCGACCTTACAACCGTCCTCACTATCGGTTACACTATCGATCTCATCATCGATCTCACAATTGATTTCAAGATCCATAGTATCAATTTGTTTCTAATCATCCACTGATTGGAGTTTTCTCAAATGAAACTTGTTCAATATGGGGTGTCCCTGGTAGTCTCGACCCATTCCCCAGGACCAGTTTTTCATCCTGAATCATTTTTTGACGGCCCCGAGGCCCGGCGAGATCCCCTAGGGGACGAAATTTGCGAAAAACCTTCGTCCTGATTTTGTCCATACTTTGGATCTCTGGGGTCTTGGTTTGTCCACCCAGACGCTCAAACACGGCCGTTACAATGCAGTGGCGTGTCCAGATGGGGACGCAATGCCTAACGACACACGCTGCGGCTCGCCACGTGGGTGGGTGGCGCAGTGGGCCCAGTGCGGGGGAGGGCGAGGCGGGGGGGGAGGAAGGGAGGGTGGGGGGCGAGGGGAGGAGGAGGAGGAGGAGGAGGAGGAGGAGGAGGAGGAGGAGGAGGAAGAGGAGAGGTAGGAGGAGGAGGAGGAGGGGGGAGGCGGAGGAGGAGGAGGAGCAGGAGGAGCAGGATGAGCAGGAGGAGGAGGAGGAGGAGGAGGCGGAGGAGGAGAAGGAGGGAGGAGGAGAGAGGAGGAGGTGGGGGGCGGTCTGGAGGAGGCCACGAGGGCGGAGAAGGGGTGGGAGGAGGGCGAGCGAGAAGAGGCGGCCCAGGAGGGCGGGTAATAGGTCGGGAGGGGGGTGTGAGGAGAAGGGAGGAGACGAGGGTGGGCGCCGGGGGGAGGGGGCAGGGGGGCGGGGCTGGGGTGGGGTGGGGTGGGGGGGGGGGGGGGGAGGGAGGGGGGAGGGGAGAAGGAGGAAGGGTAGGGAGAGGGGGGGGGGGCAAGCGGGCACGGGCGGGCCCCTCCCGCCGGCCCCGGCCCGCGGAGGCCGAGGCGCCGGCGCAGCTCGCGGCGGCGGTCGGCCGCCTCGGCCAGGCGGCGGACCTCGGGCGAGTCGTGCAGCGGGTGCCCGCGGAGGGCCTCGCGCGCCTGCTCCAGCGCCGCTTCCTCGCGGCGGCCCCCGCGCGGTCCGCGCGGCGGCGCCCGCGAGCAGCCGGCACGCGGCCGGCTGCTCCCGGCGTGAGGCGGGGGGCCGCCGTGCCAGCAGGGGCGAGGGGGCCAGGCATGTCCAGGCGCGAGCAGCGCAGGGCAGATGGCAATGAGGAGGGGGCGAGCAACAGGACGGGGATGATGATGCGAAGGGCAACGGCGAATTAAGAGCAGAGGGGGCCGGGAATGGAACTCAAGCAGAGAAACGATGGAGCTATGGAGCTCCTTATGCAGGCCACGGAACATGTGAAGGTTCTGCCGACATGGGCGCGGCAATGTCATGCGGATGCTGGAACTAGGGCGCTTTCGCATACCCTCCTCATGGGGTCACCGGACATGTGATGGGTTTGCCGAAATTGGCGCGGCAGCATGCGGACCCGCCACTGGAGCCTTCGGCGGAGCTCCTTACGGGGCCACGGAGCCTGCGAGGGGTGCGCCGGAAAGGGCGCGGCAGCATGCGGACCCTGCCAGTGGGGCCTTCAGTGGAGCTCCCTAATTACAGGGCCATGAGACACGTGAGGTGTGCCGAAAAGGATGCGGCACCAAGCGGACACTGCCTCTGGGGCCTTCAATGGAGCTCCATACGGGGCTACGAAACGCGTGAGGGGTGCGCCAGGCATGGGCGCGGCAGCATGCGGACTCTGCCTCTGGGGCCCCCTATGAAGATCACGAAACGTGTGAGAGGTGTGCCGGAACGGGCGCAGCAGTATGCGGACGCTGCCATTGGGACCTTCGGAAAGGGGGCCCTCCGTGGGGCCACGAATCGTGTGATGGGGTGTGCCAACATGGGGTGGTGGCACCATCAAATCTGCCCCACGATCTTCCCCGCTAGAACTAACTCCATGTGGGGCCACGAGCCGTGCGAGTGGTATGCTGGAATTTGCAGACGGAGGGCAGATGCAGGGAGGGGAAAGTGACGTGGAGAGCAGAGGCAGTGGCCAAAAGGCAAGGATGAGGAGAAATGGGGATGAGCGAGACGCGCGGCGCTGCGGATTCAAGACGAGGACCCAACACCACATGGCGATTCGAGCAAGCACATGCTGGCGTGACTTTTGCATTGTGTTTTGTGTGTATGTGTGTCAAATTCGCGCAAGACGGCCCAAGATAATCTCAATACCCGCCTCAAGAGATCCCCCACGGCCTCCACGAGGGGCCAGAGAAGCCCCAAAGAGAGGCCCCAGAGCAGAACTCGAATTGCTATATCTGTTTTATCTAGCCCTCCACCAACATATTGCTTTCCAGACCACAGGCCCCCAAGAAGCCAGCAATAGGCCCCCATAGACACCACATATGCCCCCACGAGCCCCGAAAAGACCTGTAAGAGGATCACACGTGGCTCCAAGAGGCACATTGCGCGATGTCTCGTCTGGGTACCCGTCCCCTCCGCTCCGCTGGACCTCCCAGGAACACCACGGAAATTACGACGATTGAACACTTGTTGGCCCTCCCAGGCGAGCCGCGAAGTCTCTCGCTGGATACCCGCGGCCCCCCGCTCCACTGGGCTTCCCAGGAGCACCACGAAGGTGCGACGATTCAAGAGTTGGCAGCCCCCCGTGCAGCCGCGAGGTCTCTACTGGGTTCCCGTGGCCCTCCGCTCCGCTGATCCTCCCAGGAGCCCACGCAAGTGGTGATACATTCAATCCAAGGCTCCGCCCCCTCACCCTCACCCTCCTCCTCCTCCTCCTCCTCCTCCTCCTCCTCCTCCTCTTCCTCCTCCTCCGCCCTCCTCCTCCTCCTCCTCCTCCTCCTCCTGCTCCTGCTCCTGCTCCTGCTCCTGCTCCTCCTCCTCCTCCTCCTCCTCCTCCTCCTCCTCCTCCCTCCTCCTCCTCCTCCTCTCCTCCTCCGCCCTCCATCCCCTCACCCTCCTCCTCCTCCTCCTCCTCCTCCTCCTCCGCCTCCTCCTCCTGCTCCTCTTCTTCCACCTCCTCCTCCTCCTCCTCCCTCCTCCTCCTCCTCCTCCCCCGTTCCCCCGCTGGATGGGTAACCCCCGCGAGCTTCGCGAAAGCCACGCGACTGGCATGCCCCCCACCCCCCCACCGCCGCGGTGGTCATGGCCCTGCGGGCGTGGCGCGGTGGCGATTGGTGCAGGTGCCTCCTCCTCTTCTCCTCCTCCTTCTCCTCCTCATCCTCCTCCCTCCTCCCCCCTCCGCCTCCTGCTCCTCACTCCTCCTCCTCCTCCTCCGCCCGCCATTTTCCCCCCCCCTCCTCCTCCTCCTCCTCCTCTCCTCATCCTCCTCCTCCTCCGCCTCCTCCTCCCCTCCTCCTCCTCCTCCTCCTGCTTCTCATCTTGTAATTCTTCTATTCCTTCTCCTCCCCTCCTCCTCCTCCTCCTCCTCCTCCCCCGTTCCCCCGCTGGATGGGTAACCCCCGCGAGCTTCGCGAAACCACGCGACTGGCATGCCCCCCCCCTCCCGCGCCGCGGTGGTCATGGCCCTGCGGGCGTGACGCGGTGGTGATTGGTGCAGGTGCCTCCTCCTCCTCCTCCTCCTCCTCCTCCTCCTCCTCCTCCTCCTTCTCTTGCTCCTCCTTCTCCTTCTCCTTCTCCTCCTCCTCCTCCTCCTCCTCCTCATCATCATCCTCCTCCCCCTCCACCTCCTCCTCCTCCTCCTCCTCCTCCTCCTGCTCCTCCTCCTTCTCCTCCTCCTACCCCTCCTCATCCTCGTCGTCGTCGTCGTCGTCGTCGTCGTCGTCGTTGTCGCCGTCGTCCCCCCCATCCCATCCCATCTGGGAGGAGGGGGGCTGAGGAATTTTAAGGCACATCCCATCGTGGTGGGGGGGCGGGGGGCCTGTGAACCCTCGACTCGTGATCATACATGCACAACTGGCACCCCCCCGGGGGATCGCGAGAGGGAGGCGGGAGGAAGTAGGGGAGGCGGACTAGAAGGAGGAAGTGGAGGGGGAGAAGGCTCCACCGCCTGGCTCAAGACATTCCCCCAAACGGGGTCAGGTTCAGAAATGACGCAGCATGTTTTGCCACACGTGTCCACACTTCGGACCCGGGCCAAAGCAGGGCCGTGGGCAGGCTAGCTACCGTAGCTTCCTTATTGCAGTCAGAGCCTCAGCATGGGAGGACGAGGCGCAAGGGCAAGGGAGCGAAGTCCCAGGCTGATGCTCCCCCTCGACATAGGTCTGGCCCGAGTCAGGCTGCATCCTAAGGCACCGCCTTATTATCGTAGGAATTTGCAGGGTGCTAGGCATGTGTGAATTCGCATCATGAACGGTGTTGGAGATGTGGGTAGCGATGGTGACGCCAAAACCCCAGCAGCAGCCAACAGCCAAGAACAACAACGCCAACTATAAGAGATTCCGATCGGTCTCCAAATCTCGCAACTACGGCCATCGCTTGACCTCATTAACGGGTCCGGTGGCAAGGGGTACCCGTCGGCTGAGCGTGCCGTTGCGGTACCTTCTGAAGCAGTGGGGGCAGTCATGGAGCGCATGAGGAAGTAGCGAGCTTCAGAGAACACGGGGAGTCAATTGTATCAAGCACAATTTGCTCGTCTGGCTGGGGCTCAACATCTTTCGGCACATCGCATGGTGCATGTTGAGGAGCAGAAACAAACTTTGACAGACTTAGATGTCCAGAGAGAGAGAGAGAGAGTTTTGGTCGAGGCGGACTTGAAGTCTGCTAACGACGACGCGAAGGACGATCTTGAACAGAAGGTGGGCTTACTGGCGAAGTCGGCCCCTGCGAGTCCCACCGCGGACCCGACCATGATGCCGCCCGGTCTGCAGACGCGCTTCCGCAGTGCGGCTGGCGGCAGTGGGGCGGTCATGGCAACCATGGGCGGCGTGCAGTCGGCAGTGATCTTGCAAGATATGTAACAGGATTGATGTACCCATCTCTCAGCCTGGACCCGCACCTCAGGATGGCCCTCAGTGACCGCGTGGCGGCAGGACGCTTGGCGCCTCCCCCGCCGCCACAGGCTTTGTGCAAAGCAGCAGTAGAAGGTGCGGCGGCGGCAGGAGCTTCTTTAGGTGGGGCAGGCTGATGAGGCAGGCTGGGCCGAGAGCGCAAGATGGGAGCACGGTTGCGGTGACAGCGCTGCTTGCAGAGAGGAGATCGGCAAAGCAAGCGGGGCTGAACGACGAACAGCGGGCATCCGGGATGCGACTTGAGGAGGCTCAGGCGCCACAGGGGCCTGGGTAACATCCAGTGCGAGTGCGACAAGGGCGGCCAGCTTGTTTTCCAGACGGTGGATGCCAACTCCTGGAACAGCGTGGCCGCCCACATCATGGGCTCCCATGCCCATGTAGCACTTGTCCAATGGCATACATTAGATGGTCGACCTGTTCTGGAAGCCAATCAAAGACAAGCTGCGAAACCAGGGTTGGGAAAACTTCTGGGTGCCCTGTCAGACCACCGTCAGAGGAGGCAAGGGCGATGGAGTTTTCATTTTGACGAGATCGCACCTGGATGCGTGGCAGGACCCAAGCGGTGGCTCTGCGCTTTCGGAGGCCAGGATTCGGCACTGCTTGTTCAGAAGGAAGGTCCTGGGGGCGACCTCGATCAGCCAGGAGTGCTGGAAGGGTTATGTAGGTCTTGGGGGGCAACGCCTGAGATTGGCGCGGTGCCGGGAAGCAAGAACAGCCTCCGATGCGTTTCGGGAAAGGATCAACACATTGAGCTTCGGGTGTTTCGGTGAAAGGCCGCTCCCCACAGACTCAATGGTCAGCTGGTCATTCCGCTTCCCACCGACCAGTTCCCTTGACGTTCGCAATGGGTTAGGCAATGTTGAAGGGGCCCCAGAACACACAAATAAATAGACACAAATAACCATATTCCCCATATTTTCTTATATTTTCTGGGTTTTTGTCTCCCCCCCCACTTCCCATATTTTCCTATATTTTCTGGGAAATCGAAGATTAATTGTGTCTGTGTGATTTTTTCCCTCCTGAAATGTTAAGGTCCGAATGTTCCTGCAGCTTCAGAAGCTCACCGTGGATCTCCCAGTTGG